CCTCATATATCATCCAGTCTTATACCGATAAGGTGATATATTTACTCCTTAAGAAATAACTTAGAAAAAAAAGAAATAATTTAGAAAATTCTTAAATTTTTCATGTAACATCCAAAGGAAAACTTTATACTATGCATTTCATGTCTGTCTGCATCTCATTTTTAACAAAAAATAAAAGTATTTTATCTTTTTTAATATTATTGATAACATAATACAAACAACTTCGTATTTGAACTTGAAGCACCATTTAATCATTGAAGCATGTGGTGGATAGTACATATGGTTTGTGGTGAGGCCTCTTAAATATATACTTAATAAATTTTATAACTTAAAAGACAAAAAGTCAAGAAGTCTAAAATTCATTTATAATTCTATTGCTTATTTTCTGTTTGATGTGTTAATTTCCCAGACATTTGTTGTGGCTCGTACCTAGACATCACGTCACATCCTCATGCAGTCATAGGTTAAGCTTTTGGGACACAGATGAATCTAAGACGTGTGCTGCTGGCATCAAGGATGTGATGTTGGGATTGATTCATGGAGCCATGCTAGGATGAAGGATGCCTCACCTTGGGTGTGAATGCTAAGGGTGGGTAGCCTGAATAAGATATAGCAGATAGAAAGAGGGTAGTTGTTGTGAGCTGCTTCTCATTTACTTCACTGTTTGATGTCTTCTGCCCACCATGACGTTTTCCTTCTGTGAGTTGCCCCTCTGCCATGCTACCCTGCCTTGGAACCAGCCAACTATGAACTGAAGCCTCTACAAACCATGAGCCAAATAGACCTTTCTTCTTTGAACTTTGGGTGTCAGGCATTTTGTTTCAGCAATAAGAAAAGTAACTAATACAATATTCATTTGATTCTTTAAGGATCATTTATTACTAACTTTTCCTGATTTATGTTTGATTGTATATGTGTTTACTTATAATATTAATATCATAGTCTTTTGATAATGAAGTAGTAAAATTAACAATGATATTTTGCTAATTAAGTAAAAATACTACCAAATATAATACCGCTGTGCATTAAAAATAAACAATATCAGTTATAAAAGTAGTACTTTGCATGAAAATGAATGAAATACATGGGTTCTCCTATGTTAGAAATCAAAAAAGTATACTGTCCTGTTATTTTGAAACTTCACTAGAATGAAAAGCAGTTTTTACAGCTAATAAACATTAAGAGGATACTATGAAAAATAGTTGATTTAAATTCCAGACAATTTCAAATCATAAAATATAAATTATAATTTTTACATCTTTACTTTCCTTTATATTTTCATCCACAAAATCTGTGACTAGATCTCCAACACAGAGTTAGAAGTTTGAGCCTCTTGACCTTACAAATCACTACTATTTATGGCCTCAATAAACTTCAGTGTAATTGAAAGATCATGGTTCCCTGTGTAGGTGAACAGTTTAGTGAATGCTTATTTTGTTATATCAAACTGGAAAATGTTAAATTATAAGCCAAGTACTTCCTGGATCAATACAGAACATGTCTCAATTATCACAGCAGGATTTCTCAAACTGCATTTTTTCCATATGGGTATCGCTAGTTATGCATAAGTTAATAGTAGCTTGATAATCAAAACAATACAGAGCCTTACTACATCTGTGGATAATGTTAGGTAAGGGTAACTGTGATGTTTTCAAGAAACAGTGACTTTTTAATAAACAGATTTAGCTGTATATTATTGTATAAAAAATATCTTCAGACATAACTGCTAGATGAATTTTTATTATGAAGTAATTATAGTTGTTATAACTTCAGTAAAATTCAGTATGTAGAATTCTCAGGCATTAAATGTTGGATTGTGCAGAATGAGGCAGAATTTTTATTTAATATTTATCAGTTTCATGGTAATTATACTCAATGTATTTTATGTTAATGGCTTCCACATGTTTAAAAGAGATTTTATCCACTGTTGAGCTTTATATATCATTTAGAATTAATCAGATGGGGATACAGCTCAGTGGCACCGCCCTTGCCTGGCAAGCTTGAGGTCATGAGTTTGATACCAAGTACCAAAATTAAATAAATAAATAAAAGTAATCAGAATTATAAAATACTATAATGATTTTGAAATTAAATATTTTTAGTTTTTAGACATTTCATCGATATACAATCTATTTTAAAAGGAAAATTGAATAATTTTAGTAAGTTCCCATGATTCTTCAATCACTATCAAAATCTAACTTTATTACAAATATAACCTACCAGTAAGAAAAGATAAATGCACACTAACAGGGACATCTTTTTCCTCATGGAATTCCTTCAACAAGCTCCAACATACAACCCTGGAAAAATAATAGCATACTTTTTTGTCTGGTTAAGTCTGTCTGTTGTATATTTCATTTAATGGAAACATACAAAAGATCCCCTATCATAATTGATTTGTTACGCTTAACATGATGTTTACAAGGTACATTCATGTGATAGAACCTATTAGAACTTCATTCTTTTTTAGTGATGACAATATTGCATCATATTCCTATATAATATATTAAAAATTAATTCAACAATTGGTGAACAGTTGTGTTGCTTGAAGATTTTGCATTAAAAGGAAAATAAACATCTCCACAGTGATAGCAGAAGACTTTCATGGCCTATTTCACTCTTATTGAAAAACCTCAGTGGAATTTACAATAAGAAAATGAATTAAACATCACCACGGAGCAATAAAACCTGACATGGAAATGAATTTTTGCCTCCAAGTTTTGTTGGCATTTCTGTCTACTTAATTAGATGTGGAATTGCTGGTGCCTCTCGGTTTGAGACTTTGGGTCCTGCAGACTAATGGCAATAGCAGCTACAACCCCTCATGGTCTCATGAGGTCTCAGCAGCTGTGTACGAAGCTTCCAATTTTCCCTTATGTCAAATTTTCACATTTTTGTCATAAAGGTAGACACATAAATCAAAAACTTTGTTTCCCTATTAATTTTTGTAGCACTACTGTATTATAATTTTATACCAACCAAATTTCTTGATAAATACAAATCACAACTTATTCATAATGAATATGTAATACATTGTGTCATACTTTTTATGGAAGATGTGAAATGTTGGTAGAAAAATAAAAACACATGTAAGTAGTTACACTGATTTTTTTTATCTACAATGCTGCAGTAAATGTAAACATACATAAATTTTGATCTGAACTGCTGACTTCTTTCCTGAGTATGTAATATTGTACATATAATGAGATTTTTATTTCCTGTGACTCTAACAAATCACATATGTATTTCTTTAAATATAGATTGATGTTTAATATAACTGTCTTTTTGCTTCAGATATCAATTTTTTTATGCATATGACAAATGAAAAAAATTAAATAAATTTTGGTGTGTGAGAACTAATTGATATTGTTGGTAAAATTTTATAATTTTGAGAGTAGCAAAATGCTCTGAAAGGAAGATAGATAAGACAGGCACACCAAAGTATAACTTAAATTTTTTTCTGTTGGTTTGATATTTTACTGAACACTTTACTTTTTCATTAAACGTTTTTGTTTAACTTTCAGGAGTAGAAACCCATATTTGATGGTATTATAATGATACTCTCTGGTGAAGTCTAAGTCCTCACTAAAGAAAAATGTAAATGTTTAAAATGAAGCACATAGTATAAACATAATACTTCACATGAAGTACTTTTAGCTGACCTTCCTATTCAAATAATCATACATTCTATTCCATCATAAATACTTGCATTGTACTTCATTATAGCATTATACGTTAATAGATACAAGTATTTTTAAAACATTATTTTTTCTGACTTAGGGATGTTGTTTAGTGGTAAAACACGTACCTTGCATGAAAATAGCTTTTGATTTAATCCTCATTATCACCTTAAAAATTTATTATTGTCAAAAATGATGTCATAGTTTTATTGCACTTTAACCTACTGTAATATGTTTTCATTGATGTACATTTTTGTGCATAATAATTTTAAAATTACATAAATATTAACACTTTAACTAAATATTCTTACATTTATTCTGAAACTTACAAAGTGGATAATAATTTTGGTAAGCAAATGCTTCCCTACACAAATATTGTATGTAGATAACAAGAAACCCAAGCAGAAAGACCAAGGAGGATAACTATTTTTCAGATCATTTTCAGGCACATAACACCTGCCATCTCCCAAGCACATCAGACATAGACTTTAGAGATGAAATAAGTGCAGTTCACAGATACCTAGACTCTGGTAGTTGGTTAAAAGTGTGCCGCTCTTCTTCCTTTTCTGACCACCTGATATGGCAGACAGTTTGTTTCAGTCCATAATCAGCTGGTTCCAAGGGAGGTGGCCTGACTGAGGGGCAACAGTTCAAGGCTGCAGAAGACAACAAAGCAACAACAGCAAAAAGGGGAGAGCAAACCTCTTTTCCTCTCATATTGTATGCAAGCTCTCCACCTTCTGCTGGTCTAACACTCACACCCTCTGCCCCTCTCTTGCACAGTCTCAGAACTTTTCCCAAGTGAGGACCCTGACCCCCTGCTGAGTCCCTTAAACTTCTAAACTTTTCAAATTAATACAATATCCTAGAGCCCTAAGGGCATGTCCTCTACACTGTAGGATGTAGAAGTGCTGAGTTATCCGTATAAGCTGCTAAATTTCTCTAGTCGACACACTGCAAGGTTTTGGGGAGCAAGAGAGACCCACGGAACATTTGCTGTTAGTGAATTTTGCTGGATTGACATACCTGGTTCAAATTATTGTAAGTATTGGCTCCTACTGGCTTCTCCTCATTCTTTTTTCAGTTGGTGGTGACATTGTAATCACATGGTAGAATGGAAGTCATAGACAAAGCATTCGTGTGCCCTTTTTTTCCACTTATTGCCTTCTGGGAGATGTGTGGATGATGTCTGGTAGATGAAATCTTCATTCCCGCCTCTAAATACATCCTGAAATCCAAGGAGGGAAAAAGCAAATAGTTTTAAAAAATTCATTCTTTAATGTTTATCCTTACATTCTCTCTAACTTTGTCTCCATCTAGGAATACCAGGTTGAATCAATAATCAAAATTGCTACACATATTTTTTGTGAGTGTAAGTATCATGTACTTTTCTCATAGTACAGGCAATAAGGGTGTAAAAAATAAAATTATGGAAAAATATATTTAATTATACAGAATTCAAGGAAGTCAAGGCATAAAAATGGCATTCAAGAAGGAAAGTTACATACATATCCTATTTAGAAAAGAGGTAAGTTGTAATACTCATAGATGGAAACCAAGTTGTCATTGAATGGGCTCAGACATGCTAAGGGAAGATAAAAGGATTTTCTTTTCTGAAGGATAAATAACTGTGAGATAGGGCACTTTTTCACCAAATAAATATTTAAGCTATAAACAAAGACAATGTCCTTTGTGAGCACAGCAGAGTATCTATCAAATAGTTGGAAATTGTCTGAATTTTATGAAATTTAGCTAAAATTTCAGACTAATTGTGAAGTACTCTGGGGATAACCAATGACACCAGAACATATTCTTTACTACCTATTAAACTACAACACTACGAAGAATTAATGTACTTTTTCTGTATTTTTATAACAAATAATTAAAGCAAGTAGAGAAAAATAGAGGCAAACATAAAGACAACATAGTGCAGAGACATGGAAACATACAAGGTTTAATTTGAAATGTGACTTAGGAGGGAAATGATTGTAGCCATTTGACTGGACAGAACTAACAATACTTGATGATATTAGTGGTGTGTTTAGCTACTAAAATATATTTTGAAATTACTGTATTATATTCTTTTGCTGTTCTTACAATTCTCTTGTTTGTAGGGAACATCTATACTTGTGTGAGCTGTTCAGTGAGAATCTGTAACCCACAGGACAGGCGGAGAGGTCAGCTAAGAAACAGCAGAAAACAGAAGACAAGACTGCAGTGATAGACAAAGGTGGATATCAAGCCAAATGCAACAGCACTGCATGCTGTCGGGCAACAGCAAAGGATCCCTTTGCATGCAAAAAGAAAGTTGCACAATATGAAGGAAGCAGTAAAAATGAAATGAAGTAGAAGAGACATGCAGAAAGAAAAATGCTCTCGGATATGTCACAATCATCTTGATTCTTTACCTGGAAAACCTGTATTTTTTCCTTTGTAATTATCTAATATACTTTGTGTCAAAGAACAAGGACCTGAGTTCCACTTAAAGAAGATGAAGAAGTTAACAGATACCGTTCTCGGGTTTTATCATGAAATTAGAAATGAAAATTTTCAGTTTCTAGTAGTCATGAACAGAGAGCCTCAGGTAAGCCCGAGAGTGCAGGCAGACAGTCAGGATGCTCCTGCGCAGGCTCCTCAGGTGCAGCTGTGCTGGTGGGAAAAATCATGCTGTTTAGCCTAACGAGGCAAAACAGAATAAAGGCCAAGGTAATTCAGTAGAGAGGGTCTTAAATGCACAGCTGTGTCAGCTGCTGTCTCCTTCCCACCTGGTCTTCATTTTTTCTCTGTGTAATCTGTTTGCTTCCCTACTGGGCCTGCTAACATTATCTGATTCCAGGCCAAACTGATAATATTTGTTATGAGGCCTGCCAAAATTAATAAAATTTGAGTTCATCATCTTGGTGTTCCCTGAACTAAAGTTAACTACCTGTGTCAAATCCTAAAGTCCACTTGTTACACCAGCATCAGGCTAAGATGTAAATCTTCATTTGAACTAAGGAACAGCTGCACTCCTCTTGAAACGCTACATGCACAGAGAGATGTTTGTTTGTAAGTGGATACAATAGACAGAGTGCCTATTGGTGTTTTAAAAGCCAAAACCTGGAATACTTTTCTGTTGACTTCACATATGGAGAAAATTATGGTGTAAAATGTAGACAAGAATAAAATAATACCAAGATGAGTAAGTCCATTAAAAATGTAGATGAGCAAATGACTTTAGCGTTATTAATGCTGATTGGGAATTTGACTGGCCAAATGAGCATGTTTATACTTGGGACCAATTAAAAGGCTTACCATTTTAATCACTGGCAGAACTGGACATTCAGTGTTTTCCTGGATGACAAGAATTTTCTTTTGTTGTTTTTTCAGTTTGGCTTTGTTTTGGTCTAGCAACTGCACCAGAGTGTCCTCAGTGTAGAGAAGATAACAATACACTACCACAGTGTTAGTAACAATATCTTGTTACTAACATTTAGTAACAGTATCTCAGAGTCTCTCTACAGCTTGAGGGGAAAACATTGCTGCCATTCCTACCCTGAGGAAAATCTACAGTAACAGAATGTTTCCAGAAGTAGAAAAATCCTACCAGTTGGGAACCTCCACGTGGACCCGGCCTCTCAGCTTTTCCTGACTCCCCACCAGGGCCGCTGCTGTGTAGGATCCGCTGTAACGTACCAACGGCACAGGTGGTGCAGTGCGTTGGGGCTGGACTCATGGAGAATGTTCTGGAGCTTCCCAAGAAGACCCCTCCAACATTACTAGGCAAAAAGGTGGATCAGGAATACCCTCCTAAGCCCCGGGAACAGTTCCTCCTAATAATTAAAGAGACACACATCTTTCAGCTCTGACTTTTTTTTAATTAGCCTGAAAAGACCAGCTTTCAGATTCCCAAAGAAATTGCAAACACATCTTTAAAAAAAAATGTAAGTTCTGATTCCACGTAGAGTGACTGAATTGTTGAGTTACTCAGAATTTAAAGCCTTTGTTTAATTACTTGATTCATAGAAATTCCCTTGATTCACTAATATACAATTTAGTCCCCAAAGGCACTCTGATTTTCTATATTTCCCTCTTAAATTTCAATGGGTATTTTTCTATCACAGTGTTATACATTCTCTTATACTACCCTCTACTTTTTCTTTTTTTTTTCAGTATGGGGATCAAACTCAAAGACCCTCTACTTTGGTAAGTCTTTTAAAATATTTGGAATTTCTTACTTGTGGTTATTTGAAAAAGGTATAACTGTGAAAACACTTACTACTTTTCACAAGCCTAAAAAGTAATATACAGAAAAAATGCATTATCAATTTTGATATTTAAGCTTAATTCACAAAGAAATCCCCATCACATTTGGAGAAAAAAACTAATCATCAACACCAAGAAAATCCTGTCTTCTACTGTTTCGACCAGCTTTTGTTTCATAAAACATTAATGAAGCCTTTTCAATGACTCCTTTGCAGAGTCTGACATAGTGAGGTCCTCTAATGAATGCAGGGTAACAACCATCTTTGAGTGTAGGTTGTCAGCTGAAAGATGCCATTTGCTGTTTCTGTTTTGGTCCTTTGAGCATGATTTCGCTTCATGTGTGGCCCTACCATGGGCTCCAGTCTTCAGCCTTATGTGTGTATTGCTTCTCATTTCATCCTCAGATTTCCTAAGGATTTCATAGCCAAGCCTCGCTCTTCATTTCTCCTGCTCCCCTGGAGCAGCAGGAGATTTGTGGAACGTTCTCAGGCTCTTTCTGTGCAAGATTTTCTTGTCTTGTTTTGCACTTTTTTTTTTTTTTTTGGTGGTCAATAACCCCACTCTTTTTCATACCTCAGATTTTGAAGACTTTTGCGACAGTTATTGTTTCCTTGCATGGCTTAAAAAGTAGTCATTTAATAAAACTTTCAAATCTTTCTTGGGTCCTTATTGCTTTCCCAGCCCATTAGGTTTTTGCGTAGAAGCCAGAACAAAATGCAGGGAAGAAGATGTAGATATGCAAAATGGCTTTCATAAAAGCGCCTTATGTCACATTTATAACTTCAATACACAGCTGATTCACAATCCGACAGCATAATCATTAAAGAATAAGAAGGACAGCAGGGACTACTTGGATGAAAGTACAATGAAAACCTGTTTAATTTTCTTATCTGTAAGTGTGAAAAATGTTTAGTAAGCTGGAATGTCACAAGAGGAAGCCCAGAGAACACAGGGATAACAAACACCAGGAGGACTACGGAAGAGGAAGTTTTATTATTTTCAACACAAGTCTCTCACAGACATTTTCTTAGATTTATGTGTAAGAATTCCACTGGTTTTCCTGTGATAATGGATATTTCACATATATAATTTATATACTGATTTTGTTTCTTACAGCTTATCACTGGATTGTAAACATGTTTTGGATTTTTATTGATATTTTATTTGGATAATCATCTCATTTGCAAAGAGTGACATCTTTTCTAATTTTCTATTTATTGATATATTTTACATTAAAATAGTACCATGTACAACTGTCAAGTAGTTTTACATAATCAATTTTCTGCTTTTTAATTCTAGTTCATTTATTTTTTGCTGATTATTCGCTTAATTATTTGATCATTTTATTGAAACACAATTGATACTATAACTAACACGCATTCACATATACAGGTTGGAGTTTGACATGTTTACCCTATTTTTTTTTTCATTTACTTATTGGCCTCACTAGGTCTTTAACTCTGATTTTGAATATGAATATTAAAACATCATTGTAATAGGTGTTTGAAAAAATAATTCCAACTTATAATTCTTTTTAATCTTTTCCTCTTTGTCCCACATGTATGACAAATTTGCCATTAACCATCTTTAGTCTTTTAATCAGTAAATAATTTATTTCTCATTGTTGGACTAGCCTTGCTTCACTCACATCATGATGATACTCTCTTATAAATCCTAAATTTTGTAAAGCAGTATTTGTTTATTTCTGTCTATATCAATGAGAGATATTTGTACAATATTTTATTTCCTTAAAATATTTTTGCTTTGCTTTTAGTTTAAGGCTTTCCTAAGGAGGAAAAGGATCCATGATAATGTCATCACAGTTTAGTACCTTTCCTTTTCTTGCTTTCTTCTGGTTAATAACCTGAGTAGTGCTTTCTCAGGTCTCCAGGTAGACTTTTATGGCTGCTTGAGGAGGTTTGTGAACATGAGCTCTGATATGTCACCTGTGGGGCCTTGTTCTCTTTTTGATTCTTGACCACTTCTCTCATAGGTTCGTCCAATATCTCCTCAGACTTCAGGAGAGTTATTTTTCCTAAAACTCAAGGATTTAAAATATTGTATGTTTTGTTTTGTTTATTTTGTGGTATTGGACATTGATCTCAAGAATCACTGAACTATATCCCCAGCCAAATTTCAAATTTAATTTTTAGAAAAGCTCTTACTAAGTGCCCTGGGATGGTGATCCTCCTGACTCTTTACCCTCTCAAAAGCCAAAATTAGAGGCCTGTAGCACCAAAGCTGGCTAAGACTAAGGCCACATAAATAAAACAATAGCCATGAATTTTCAGGTGATACTTGTCTTGCTTGGTTATCGTAAATGTTCTCTCATTGCTGACTTTGCAAAAGTATCTTTTAAATTACTTTGATCATATTCCAGGCTTTGGCACACATTTCATTCCTGGAGATGGTTAGAATATGGTGTTTCTAAAATAGAAGGACTTATCTTTCCTCCTCTGCTTTGCAACTAAGACTAGGTAAGTGGACAGATATCTCCCCCCTCCAACAACTTGTGTCAAGTGTTCCTCCAAATCTGTACTGTTACATGTTTTATAGATACCCTGTTGCCTTCTCCAGTGTTCATGGCTATCTTGAAACCTACATGTGGCAGAGTACAAAATTAATTATATCTAGTTTTATAAGCAGCATTAGGGAGCCAAAAGTAAATATACTATTTTCTGAGCGGTAAAAACTTCTCATTTTAAAATTTATGACCTGAAATTTGTTCTACGAATATACCAAATTATAGATAACACAGGATGAAGAGGCCTCTTCATATCTTTTAAGTTATCAATCACAATTTATGAATCCAATTACATACATGAGTTTTAATAATTTTACATTGCCTAGACAGGTATCAAAATCATTCCAATACTGTGATTGTAAAATGGACCAATTTTTAAAACTATGACAGTTTACCTTTGAAAAACTTGAATAAATATTTTGAAAATCAATTGAACTATACTTATAATGAACAGTCCATTTTGGGTTATTTTGGAATGGGTAAATTTTAAATTACTATAAAAAATTTTGCATCATAATTCTGTTTTATATGCTTCCTGTCTGACTTTTGCAAATGAAATAAAATACAAAGTAATTTAGTTAGGTTTGCCTCAATTATTGAAAATTTTGAAATTCTTTAAAGTATGAAAGCTATTTTTAAAGCCACAATTTTTACTCAAATATTATTTACATGATGAAAAACATTAGTGTATTTAAAAGGAAAATGTACTCTTAAATCACTACATGTGAGTAGTAAAGATTCAAGAATAAATACTATAAAGATCAGAGGAAGACCTCACAAAATTGCAAATAAATCTGCTTTGTACATATTCTTTTCAGATGCACATAGAAATGCTTACTGAGTTTTAAAGGAATATTTCTATTATTTGTGATCAGATAATGTTATAAATTATTTCTTATTGCATAAACTTATTTGTAATACTAGAAAAATGAACATTTAATATATCACCAGCTTATTGGTGATTTTATTGAATCATAAAATCCTGGGCCTCTGACAGCCCAGTTCCTGGGATTGAGAGAGGGTCACTAGGGTTGGGGCAGGCAGGCCGAGACCGGAGGAGCTGTAGAGTGTGCAGGAGGCCGGGCAGCTCCTTGACAGGCAGTGGGAGCGATGACCCCAAACTCTGGGACTCAGACTAGTGCATGCCTGGCACCGCCTGGGCACGCGGGGCTGCGGGACTGATTCTTCCAACAGCAACCTGAAAATGGTCAAAGTGAGGACAGGGCAGCGCTGAGGGGTCCTGGCTCCTCACGGGAGCCCCAAACCCTGCTCTGCTCCAGAAATGCCAGTCCTGGGTGACTTTTTCTTGCTGGTTAAAAACGTGCCTGCGCCTCCAGAGTCAAGGGGTGCCCTTCTCGTGGTTCTGAGTGAGTAGGGAGACAAGGCCGGCTTTGGTGAGGGGGGCCCTCTTCCCCATACCCCTCGGCCTTGCCAGTAGTTGCCCTCACGCTATAGTAACATTTTTACAATGAATATTTTGTGCTTACTTTTCAACAACATTGCAAAATATAAGTACTTGTTATTCAGTGATAAAGTTAACAGTAATTACATCAAAACATGTTTTAAAGATAAATAAATTTTCTTAATTTATTTTAACCTGTTTATTTTCCCATTTGCTGCTAGGCTACTCACTAGCAGTGGCTGTGGCTCTGTCACTTGCAGATTACAACAGAGGAATAGAATTCAAAGGGTTGCTGCTAAGTTTGCTCTTTTCACAGAGACAAAGTTTGCAAGACTCCAAGATAAACAGTATTTTGGCGTGGACCTACTTTTTGTAGTTTCAAGCTTTGAAATCTACCACATGAAAATGTCAAATACTGATCATCATACAGCTCTCTGTTAAATAATGATTAGTGAAAAATTCTATTCATAAGTAAGCCCAAGAGAAGTTTTTTTTTGCATTTTAATTTCACATTGAAAACCAATCAGATTTGCCACAGTCTCAAAGAGATTAATATTTATGTAAAATTAAATGAGTCCTGGTAGCTAAATGTACTTTTTGTCTAAATTGAAAATTTAAAAATTGATTTACAAATGCAACATTGCCCATGAAATTTAGTTATATTCAGTTAACTACATTTTAAGTAATACTACTAAAGACATTCCAAAATTATATTTATTTTTATCCTACTTTGTATACGCATATAGTACATATACTATTTATATGTCTTGTGCAGAATTATTACAAGTACATAACACACTTTAATTCCTTTTACAGTACTCCTTCCCTTCCACCTGGGGATCCCCTTCTCCACTGAGAAAGATCTATCCTCCTAATTCTTATTACCTATCATTTATTTTGCTTTATACATTTTTCCTAACTCATATAAGAAAAGCCATGTGGTATTCAACTTGTGCACTTGTTTAATGTCATTTAACATTTTGTTCTCAGAATGCAATCGTTTTCCTAAAAACTCAAATTTATCTTTCTTTGTGGCTAAATAGTAAAATGCTTATATTCAAAGTACTCAATAGTACTTCAGATGTTTGCATAATTTAAATTCTATTATTTAAAAGTAAAATGTGAATAATTCAAAATTTCTAAGTGGTTTAAAAATATGAAATTTTATATCACCATGGTAACATATTATTAAATGTACTTAATAGATATTATAACACCTCGTATATTGTCTCAATACAATATGAAGTATAATAGTAATTGTGGGATTTGCTTTAAGAACTGTTATTAGTCAAGGCTAAAAAATAAAGGAAATCATTGCTTTAGTTACTAGCCCATACATTCACATCTAGGAAACATTTATTTGATAACTTTTATTTAAGTTGTATATTTTATTGTTTTCAAAAATTTTTCACTCTTTAATAAATAGGCAAATTGACAGTTTTTTTTCTCAGATTGGCTTCCACGTCTCCTTAAATATGTTTCATTTTAAGTAACAGAATAGCATGAAAGTAAGAAAAACATGTTTCTAACAAAAACTCAATATGGTAAGAATAGTAAATAAATGTGAACCAGTTTCTAAGAGTATCTCATGGAGGTATTAACTGGAATGCATAAATCTCTCCACCATAGTTCAGAAATGAGGGGCGGTGAAATAAATGTATTAGTCAATTAAGGTATGATTGTCAGTTTGTGAAAAGAAAAGGTTTAATTTTGCCGACAGTTTTAGAGATTGCAGTCTAGATGAGAAAGACTTAGTAGTTTCAGTCCTCTGATGAGGACAGGGCAGCACAAGACTGCATGAAGTTTGTGGTGAAGTAACCCTGCTCACATCGTGAGCACAGAGAGACAGCCTGAGTCATAATTCCTCAGAGCATGTGTTCATGATGACTGCACAGCACTCACCAAGCCCCAACTCTTGTTCTACAGCCCCCCAGTCTCAGGAATCACCTTTAACATGTGGACTTTCAGGGAACATTCCAGATTTGAACAACTAAATACTGAAATTGAATTAGAGGACCTAGTCTAAGAATATTCATTAGCTTTTATGTGAATTTGGGTATGTCACTTATTTCTCACTCGCCATTTACTCATATTAAAATACATATAATGATTTTGCATTCGTTTCTGCATTATATAATTGTTTTGTGAATTCAAGTATGAAAAAAGTTTTATAACTTGAAAACTAAAACTCTTATCAAGAGGCTTCCAAATATTAAACATATTTTTGTAGATGTCTTTATGACACTTGCACGGTCTAGGTTGTTAAGAATAAAAATAAATATACATTATATATGATATAGATGAATATATATATATGTATATATATACATATATATATATTCTTACTGAAAATGTTCAGTTTACTGATTGTTAGTGTTTAATGTATTTAGAGCATACAATATATTAGGTAGATAGATATCTGAATTTTATGATTGTTTGAGAATCACATTTGTCGCTTTTCTGTTCGGGGGCAAAAATTTCTCACATTTACAATCTAAATTCACAGAGCTTCATTTTGGCCCATACTTTCAGAGATTTCAGTCCCCCTGGTGGAAAAGCATCACAGAGGAAAGCTGCTACACTCATGGCATTTGGAAAGCAGAGCAGATTACAAAGAGCCAAAGAAAAAAGTTTCAGTGACTAATATAGTCCGCAAGGTTATGCTCTCTTGACCCATTTTCTTAAACTATACCCCAAGTCCTAAAAGCCCATTCAAGTACAAACTCAGTTTTAATGAAGTTACTGCCCTCACAATCTAACACCTCTCCAGGGGTCTCTCAGTCCAGTCAAGACTACAGTGAAGCTCAACTGATTGAAGACTATCACTTTATCAATTTGACACTTAATTACACATCTTTAAACTATGATTAATTTCTCAATAACCTTATATCTTTCAAATACATTTGATCTTCAAATACACCATGACCTCATTCTTCTGCTGGTTCTGCTCCTTGCTCATAACTTTTTGGACCATGTTCCATTTTCCTGGCATCTCCAAGTTTCTGTGGTATCCACTGCAGCTTCACTCCACTCCCAGGGACTCAGCAGCCTCTCAGGATCTCGTAGCAGGCAGGGATGCTGGTCTTATAGTATTTTTGCTCCACCAGACCAATTAATGCATCATCCTTGAACTCCACCTTACATAATTTTAGCGTGTGGATAAACTGTAGAAAAATGATTTGTAAGAATATAGCATTTTGGTCTCTTGTCCAATTGTCAAAAGAATTCTCTTTTTCCATCAGAAGTCTAAAGCTTCTTGAGTACAATTTTTATTCTAAATTCTGTTTAACATTCAGAGCTTCTGAGCTACTGTGATAATCATCTATCAGTCTCTGTTTATAGCTTTCTAGGAGTCTGAAGCCCACATCACCAAATCACACATTCCTCCTGAGAAATAGTTACAAAGGCTTCTGAGCCCCATGGTCATGTGTGGTTACAGTAATGACCCCACTTCTCTATTGGAAATTTTCTGAACTGTTCACTTTTCTGTTGTTGGACAAAACTTCCAAACCTCATAATTTAAAAGAAAAGCTTATTTTGGTTCACATTTTCAGAGTTTTCAAATCATGATTGGTTAACTTTAAGGCTCAAATATCATGGCAGTAGAGCATTCACAGGAAGACAGCTCAAAATATCCCAGAAGGGTGGGAGAACAGGGCAAAGCCAAAGAGAGTTGATGGACAGATGCAGTCCCCGAGGTCCTGTCTCTGTGGCCTGCTTCCTCCAGCCGGACCCACACCCTAAAGCCCACTTCGTTGTAAACTCAATGATAAACTCACCCATTGATGAGGTTGATATCCTCACAATCCAATCACTTCTTTCAAAGTCTCTTCATCTTTACAAGTTGGTAATGCAGATGAACAGACACAATTTTAAAAGAATAAATACATATATATAATTTAATATAATATTGTGTATATATCACCAAGTAAAATCTTTGAAAAATTAACAGTTAAATATTAGTCCCAATAGGATAGTACTTGTTAGTGGTTCTGGCAGTATGTTAAGATTAAAATTCAGTAATTTTCTTTATATCACAGAAACAACTGACTTTTCATTGTTTATCTTTTTGTTTGTTTGTTTTTGTACCAGGGATTGAACTCACCACCTTGCACTTGCCAAGCAGGTGCTTGTGCTGCTGAGCTAAATCCCAGCTCATTGTTTATCTTTTAATCAACAACATGAGTGCTAATTAAACTAGTATTATTGAATGTGGAAGTATGGAGTTTAATTTAAAAATGTCAGCATGATTTCTTCTTGTGTATGTGTGTATATGTGTGTACCAGGCAGAGTATCAAACTTAAAACCTCGTACTTGCCAATCCCCAGTCCCAACATGATTTCATTTTATTACTTTTCTTTTTTACTAGAAAGCAAAAGTACTATGTTAAGTGACATATACAGCACTTTTGAATTTATAATCACCTCTGCTCCGTAGCATCATAATTATGTGGTAGGTATCTTGTAATTTTAACATTTGCTAGGAAAAAATAATGGTCTTATACGCACTCTTATTGTGTTTACCTGCATCATAAATTTAGATGCCTCTTTGTGCTGCTAAATAAAAATTTAAGTGTGTAATTTAAAAATATTTGCTTTATTGTCAACCACTTTTTTCTTTTAATATGTTTGCTTTTGTAGTCAGTGTACTGTATTACCTGATATGTAGTGTACTTCTAATCGTCTAAGTTATGTGTTAGACTGAATATCCCTCTCTTCGTTATTCCCGTCCTTTGACCTGAGCTCTGTCTGGTCAAATGTGGCCAGATGCTACTGCAGTGATGACACAGGAAGACATTTTGTGGCATGATGGCATTTCCAATAGGTCTCTGCGACCCAGAGGATTAGAATTTATTGGACCTTTTCTTTTTCTTCCACAATGTTGGTTTTCCTATTACATGAATAAAGCAAACATTATGCCGAAAAAGGAAAGAAAAATAAATATCTTTAATCATTGAAAATGACAATTTTAAGGAAATATTTTTGTATAAAAAGAACTAAGGCATTAACAGATAATGGAGCAGGCTATTAATCTTGAGCTGTGTCTTTTGTAGTGCTAAAACATCAATTTCTTTTCAACGATTATTAGTTCATTTTTCTACATCCTTTAAAAGCTGAACTATAGATAAACTTCACAGAAAGTTTTGAAAAAAAATATATCATGGCTTTAAAAATGAATCTGAAATCTCAGATCAGCAGTAAAGTAAAAGGAATTACATCTGAAGCAAGACCCAGATGGAGGTCACTAGCAATTTTCTTAGTTTTTTTTTTTTAATTAAACTACAAATACTATAAATAATCATTCATGGAACTTGAAGGAAATATGGCTTACCTAATATGGTGACCCTGAAGTGACATTCTGGATCTAAGTTGCAATTTATTGCTATAAATAGGAACTAAACAACATGCTTGCTTTGATGGGAGAAAAGTGATACTTAGTGTGTCAAATAGAGCTGACTAAAAGTAATTTAACCATAAGTGAAAGCTATTTACATACAGAATCAAGGTATTTAGCTAATAAACTGCATGTAACTATTTTTAGTAAGCATTAGTTTGTGGGAATATAGCTCAGTGGAACAATGCCTGTCTGGCAAGCATGAGGTCCTGAGTTTAATTCCTGGTACAAAATAATAATAATAATAATAATAATAATAATAATAATAAAAGTTTTAGAATTTATTTTTTAATTTTAATGAGATTAGCACTTAGAGCAAAATTTACAATATGCAAATGGCCGCTGAAACACAGTCACATTATCTTTCTTTGTAGCAGTCATGTAGTTTTTTCCTGTTGGGGCTTTGTTCCCACCTCTTGTCCATCCTTTCAGAAGACTCTGTCCCAAGTGTCAGAATAGGACTATGCGACCACAGTAGCTTCACACTATGCAAGCCAGGGACATCATCTTCATAGGCCAGTGACATGGTACAGCACAGGAAATGGTATTAACAGAAACACACTTAAAAGACTGTATGGAAAATGTACTCCGTTAAAGGCCTTTTTCATTCCACTAATTAATGGCTAAGATTGGGTTCAGTAGTGAGAATTATATGCAGTTAATTTGGGACCTCTTGGAGGATTCTGTAGTTCATTACTATCTTATCAGGCCATGAAATTCTTTTGCTATATGAAGAAACAGTATGTTAATGGTTTCATAACAAATCCTTTAGAATATAACATCATTTGGCAACTTTTGATGTTCCAAATTCATGAACATACCATCTGACCACTAATTTTTGCACTTATTTTTAATATATGTATATATATGCATGCATATATTACATTTGATATTTTCATATATGTATAGATTTTCAAAGGCCAATGTGTTCAATAATCATCATGCATATTTATTATTTGGTGGTGAGAAGATTTAAGTTAATTCTCAGTGATTGTGAAGTATACAATATTTTTCACTATAGTCACTTACATGTTAATGTCTAGATCTCTTGGACTTACTTCCTTTGTGTAGTGAAAATTGGTATCTTTTGACTGACAACTTCTCATTCTCCCTTGACCCATATGGAAATTATCATTATATTATGGCCAACATTTTTATTAAATGTAGATGTTTGATATTTAAAGCAACTTCCTTTTTATTGATATTATTTGACTACTCACAATGCCACACAAAACATTGCTATGAAATGTGACTGAAGATATCATGACAACTTCATTTTACTATCATTCTTTACTTCACGAGTTACATTTCCTCTTGTTACTTTATTGTTTGCCTGGACATTACCATTGACTTGCTTATGCCTCTGGCTCCTCATACTATTTTCTACTTTAGAAAAATGATAAAGTAACTTTTGAAGAGAGGAATCTTGTGATACTAAAACTTTGTCTTCAGGTGCTTTAAATGGACCTCAGCATTTACAACACAAGTTACTATGTGTTGTGTTGTATAAAGTTTCTTTAATTCACCACAATTACTTCTTGAACCTACTCAATTTCCACAGTGTTTGGTTTTTGAGAAGGAATGCTTTAAATAGAAAACAATGTGCCCAGAAACACACTATCATGAAACTACAAGCATTTATAATTGGGATAACTATCCAAAAATAAAGTTGGAATCAGAAACTAGACACTGATTTATATCCGTGAAAGACAATCAAGCATTTAAAACTCTAATACACTTTCCATTTAGCTGAAGCTCTTTCCTGCTAAGCTTACTTCAAAATCAAGATTGAGAAAGTTGATGTCTGTTAAGCATTCTTCTAAGAGTGAAAAATAATACTTTCACAGGATTTAAGTCTAAAAGCTTTGTTACCCCTATGTTTTTTTGAAAAATTGATTAATAAAATTTAAAAACATGAAGGTTTCATCTACTGGCAAAGATTTTCTCTGTGCGGCCTTTTTAGTTACTACTCATGGATAATCAGATTTTAGCTGTTCACTTAGATCATTGTGTGCTTGACTGTTACGGAATTTCAGACACTGAAGCATAAATCATTTTCAGATATCATTGACTCAGCCTCCAGTGTCTTTCCTTTAACTAAAAAAAATTAACATCAAGATTCTTTTATTGCATAGGTTGTTGATGTTTCTTTTATCATGATATTGATTATAAAATATATAAAAATAAATTAGTTTGAGTGTTAACTGTATCTTTTACTTTTTCACTCTCTTAGGAAAGAAAGAAACATGTGTTTGAAACTATAGTCGAGCTATTTTTAAGTTGTTAAAACTTGGTAGTCCCCACTTGGTTAATTATGACTTGTAGTCAATTACTTAAAGAAATATTGACATGGGACCAGAGAGTAATGAAAGTGCAGCTTTTTCACATCAAGGGTTGTTTTTCCTGAAGATTTTCTGTAGAAAATAATTGGCACCCCCTTTGTTGCCAGCCTCCAGTGAGGACAGCTGCTTGGTTAGCAGCACTCAGTATCCACGTGTAATCATAATTTGACAAAAAAGAGTTCAGGACAAGAAGTGTTACAAGTGGATTCTCTTAAAAACGCAATACAGTACAGAGACGGGGGATAGCCAGATACTTTCAGCAGCAGGTAACTAACGCGAGACTTTTCTTCATATAGCAAAAGAATTTCGTGGCCTGATAAGATAGTAATGAACTACAGAATCCTCCAAGAGGTCCCAAATTAACTGCATATAATTCTCACTACTGAACTCAATCTTAGCCCTTAATTAGTGGAATGAAAAAGGCCTTTAACAGAGGATGTTATCAAAGGCACCTAGGAGAGGCATAAAAACATGTTTTAATTGTTCCTATGTACCCTTTGTATTGTGGAAAAAAATACTACAGTTGAGTTAAGTATTTAGCAATTCACCTTGTGGAAACATGAAATAAGTGTTTCATGAACATGCTTACAAAATAAAAAGTGTATTAACATAAATACCTAAGTAATAAAATTGTTGAATATCTAACAGTTACTCATTGTTTACCTCCTTTTTTTAACCTTAAGTGTTTTATTTAGTTTTCATCACGTTGTTCCCAGGTGAAAACAATCAGTACATAAAGTTTAGAAATGAGGACAGTGGGAACACTAGAGACTGAAGTGAAATTTGAACAGCTCTCATATTATTGATTATGCAATGAGTCTTTTTTGAGAATTTACATTATAAATATGATGTGGCATAATTTCTGTTATTTTTGTTGTCATTTGGTTTTTAACATGATTATTTGTCAAGGAATCATAAATCTGTTTAATTTGCAAATAAGTGATCATTTTATAGGAGTTGCATAGAATTAACAATTTTGAAAACAATATTTTCTGTGAATTAGGAAAACATAATGCAGGACCTAAAATTTATATTTAATACCAACAGTGTGAATCTGAATTTTCACAGACTCAAATTTTAGAATTGGTGATTAGAGAAAAGCTACTGCTAGTAGACTATGTTATCTTTAATTTGGTACTGTTATGTAGTTTACAATTTTAGGCAAAAGTGTGATTTATTTATTGTTGAGGCTAATTAAATATAAATATAGTTAACACTACTATTTTGGATAAAATTTTTTATTAACTTTGTCACTGACTTGCATGATTCCTGGTTTTTATTACATTTCCAGTGTTTAGTAAACAATTTCTCTGAGCAATAAGATTAAAGATCAAGAACCCACCACACTTGCCTGATTCCTGGAGATCTGTGCTTTATGTTATTTTGGAGCTTTACCCAAGTGAGTTAGAAGGATCATCTCCACATCTTTGCTGGTATTCTGCCAACTGTTTCACAAGAAAAGGGTGAAACAGAAGGGGGATGGCACTGAGAGGAAAGGTGAGGTCAGAGGGACAAGCTGCAGGTGCAGTATGGAAATTACTCCAGGGTTCGCATCTTTTGGTTTTATGATTGTCTGTTAGTCAGTCAGGAAATATTAAAAAGTTCTTGACATTTTAATGGATAACATTTTCTCTTATTTATCTAATGTTAGTGTATTTCATTAAAGCACCTTTTTATTGCTTTTGTCTTCTTTGCACATATGAGGGGTAATAATAGTTTCTTGTCATTGTCATGTTTAAAAATAAATACTTTGTGAAAAAAATGATAAAAATAAAACTATTTTTAGATACAAAATCCATTAAATAGTATATTAGTAATGTTATTTGTACCTAAGATATCCCAAGATAACTACTCTTTCAAGTCTCATGTCTGTAATGCATATTATGTTTTATGATTTTAAATGTATTTATAAGCATAAAGATTGTATTTTATGCTTGTACATTGTACATAAGTGGAAATCTGGTGTTTATTTCACTTTTTTCTTGAAATTTTCTTACATCATTGCATTTAAAAGTAATTTTCATATTACCGTAAATGATTTTAATTTATTTATTTCCTAAATTATATTCAGAATTATACACTAATATATTATTTTTTATTTAAAGAAAAAAAGCAAAACCAGTGCAAGGTAGATAACCATACTACTAATTTTTTGTTAGCTCATCAAACAATATTTGGTGCTGTCATTGTTTGATTGATCATTTTTTATGCTTTGATTTTATAACTTGAACAACTCCTTGTAAGATAACAATATATTCTTTTACGCATTTTAGTTTTCCTAGGGTATACATACTATACATACATTCTATTTTATAGAATAGATTCAAGTTTCATATCAGTCAATACTGAATTATTTCCAGAGTATTTTTCTTCCTATATCCCTCATTACTATTGTCTGAAATATTGCACACATTCAGTTTAAAATTTTGTATCTACAAACTTTCGTATTTTTCTTTGGGAGGACAGATATGAAATGTCTTTTCATATTAGAGCATAAACTTGTTATTAGGATTCAAGCATTAAAATTATTTTGGCTATTATTTCCTCTCTCAGTTACTATTTCTTCTGCTTTGTCTTTTTGAAAGACAAAATATGAATTTTAATTTACTTGTAGACTTTATTTTCAAAAGTAACTTTTGTGTCTTTCTGTAATGTTTATATATACCTACATCTCTCTTTCTCTCTCTGTCTCTGTCTCTCTATCTCTCTGTCTCTCTCTCTGTCTCTCTCTGTCTGTCTCTCTGTCTCTGTCTGTCTCTCTCTTTTTCCATTATGTACCATAACATGTTTCTAAAACTCAGCTGCTTTTCAGACACCATTCTTGAGGTTGTAAATGATTTGATTTTTATTTCACTGAAACTTAAAAATCCTGTTGCAAAAGTAGACTGAACTTCTGATGAATTCTTTTGTAGTTTAAATTCTACTGTGGATGTTTCAGTGGAGAATAAATTCTATTTCCCATTCGGAATCAAGTGGAGGGAAAAAGAGTAAGAAGAAATCAATGAGCACATGCTCACTCTATTAATTGTGAGAAAGATACCATATCAAACTAAAAATTTTCATAGGAGAGGTGGTGAGTAATAGGGCATTGTAGTTAGAAGGCAGAGTCCTGGAAACGAGAGTTAAGACCCTGTGGGTGAAAAAAAGTAGCTCGATACGTTCACTAGCTCTAGTGAAATAAGTAGCACAAAAGCTGCCCCACAGGGAAAGTTTTAACAGCTTTTCTTTTGTGTGTTTCACATCAGATTGACAAGAAAGTTTGTTTTAAATGTGTGAAGCATCATCTAGTAAATGTAAATAAATATGTAATTTTCATTTTGCAAACAAGTCAATCAAATCCTAATATATTATATGGATATTTTTCTATATCTAGATGAATTCTATCATTTAAAACATTACTATTGATAATGAAACATGGTAACATTCATGTTTAAAGTAACACTTTGATATTTAGACCTACAGTTTGATTAGAAGTGAATAATGTATAAGCCACAGATATTTTAAATGATGTTAATTTGATTATAATCAAAATCTTTGTTTATCTTTTTTGTGACAGGGCCTTGCTATGCAGTTCAGGCTGGCCTTGAAATCACCCTGTAGCCCAGGCTGGCCCCAAACACATAGGAATCCTCCTGCCTCAGCCTGCTACATGCTAGGGTTACAGGCAAGCACCACCACGTCCAGGTCAAAACATTTTTTAAACACAAGAAAATATATGCAACAGAATAATTTTATTACTCTTAAATATTCAAACTCATTCTTATTTTTCTACATCAAGGTCCTCTCAACAGTCTTTACTTTGGTTGTTTCCTAAGTATTGGAAATGTATTCATTAAACCTAAAAGCAATTTTGAATGATTGACAGGTATATCTTCTCATGTAAAAATTTAAAATTGCAATTCAACTACCCTGACATTTCTTAAGAAGTGCAGCATCATTAAGCTAAAATTATCTAGAGCAACATTAAAAAATAAGTAATTAAAACATGTTTTAAACTAGAAATATTATGCAACTTAATGAAAGATATTTGCACTAAAGGCACTGTAAATAACTTTAAAATCTGTGTGAAATTAAGAGCACTCCATGATTGAATTTGTGTATGTTTACCTTACTTAAATTTGATTTTGAATATATTTTAAAAATTTTTTCTCAACATTTTATCTTTTATCAGCATGATTTTGTAGCACATAATGATCACATTCTTTGAAGGGAGTTGGTACAAATATAATTAACGCATATTTTGAAATAGTTATGTGAAATATTTTAAAATATTGGTTTCTAACATTTTATATTATATTTAATTTAATTTAATCTTATTTAATTTAATTTTTATATGTCTTATCAAATAATTTTCAGTATGAACTGTACATTCATGATCATGTTTATTAACTAAAATATATTGTACCAAATCATCAAAATTATACAAAGCCAACTGAATAAAATGTATTTTAAAATGAATAATTTTAATACATTTTCAAAACAAAAAGATCTAGTTTACTGATGAATCAAAAGTGGCAAATATGGCAATGATGATATAAAAGCATCAATCTATATAGGAAATACTGGTTTTTTTTGTTTGTTTTTTTACTTCTAGGAGTTGAACTCATGACCTTGCCCTTGCCAAGCAGACTGTGTGCTGCTGAACTATATCCCCAGCCTGGGGATATTTGCTAAATCAGTGTAAAACTCAACTACAAAGAACATAGTGTACACTGTAAAGGCTTTGACCGCAGAGCATTAGTCATGCGTGTGAAAAGAATCCTTCAAGGGCTTTTGTTCACCTGTACCCACTCATTTTGTCACTTCCCATCCCATTTCTCATTTCACATGCTGCTTCTTCACTTGAGTCTAGTCTTTGTGAGAACTGCTTAAGTCAGTCAGAACCTTATGATGCTCAAGGAAACAGCTGTATTTAATGTAAGAATTACCTATTGAGTGACAGTAAGGACATCACAGGAAGAAATTCTATTACGTTTGTAGATATGATTTTAGTTTCAGAAAAATTTGAATCTGTAGATAAAGAATGAGCTGCACTTCAAAGGAACAATACTAAGTAGGACACACTCCAGCAGTCTTTATAAAATCTCTTAATGTAGATGACTATTTAGGGAGGTGGAGCAATGACAAGGCATTGGGAAATATTCTTTGAGTTCGTAATTTTGTCACATTTATTATTATTATAATTTTATATGTATTCCTACATAGTGATTAAAGGGAAAAGACCTAACAAGAAGACAAGATCTGTGTCCCTTTGTAGGGAAGGTAAGATGTATAGGACAATGTTGGACAGCTTTGCATCAGAGGTTTTCATATTGTTTATGGGAAAATGTGGCTCATGGCAACTAGAAAGCCACTAGTGCCAACCGATAATACATCTTTTAATTTTTCATCTACTTGTTTAGAGGATTGTTCTTGTTGAAATTCACAATCTGACTTCAGTAGAGCAAATTATTTGCTGTCTTCAAATGTTTAAATTCACTACTCTTAAAGGAAGCAAGTAATAATCCCATGTGGATTCAGGTGAATCTAGTAGTGTTCATGATTGGTTCATTGTCTAGCACTGGGATTGGTGGTGTTAGAGCTGCCAGGAGTGGAGCCAGCACACTCTAACAGTAGGAAGAAGGTGTGTTTTCCTTCTTTTTCTGTTTGTTATTGCTGTTTGTGGTGGACATGAACTGCGAGCCTACCATGCCACTCTGCCTGGGAGCTAGCTCAGTATGCATTGAAACCCCCAAAACTGTAAGAAATAAACCTTCTCTTCTCAATTTTGGGTGTCAAGTATTTTGTCTCAACAATGAGGGAAAGGTAACTAAGACAGAATCTTAAATGTCCCCAAATGCTCTATTGTTACAGATTGTGGAACTGTTGAGAGATGGCACAACTTTTATGTGGTATGTTGTTTTAACTTTTTCTTGGAAAATACCCAGAAGGAGAATAGCTGGTTAGCAATGAACCTCCTTTTGAGGAATCTCCACAGTGATTGGAGCAGTCTACACTCCCACCAACTGGGCATAAGGGTTCCTTTATCCCATAGCAATGCCAACATTTGTTATTGATTGATTTCTTCATGAAAACCATTTTTTTTGGAGTGAGATGAAATATCAGTGCTTTTTAAATTTGCATTTCTCAAATGACCAGTGATGTTGAATATTTTTTCATGTATTTACTTGCCATTTGTACTTCTTTATCTGAGATGTGTATATTCTTCTAAAATGCCTTTATTTGGATTACATCTTTGAATTTAGATATCATATTTTTTTTTTCAATTCTTTACATGTTCTAGATAGAAGTTTTTTGTCTGAGGGAAACTTAGATAATTTTTTTCCATTCTGTGTGTTTTCTTTTCACTGCATTGATTTCTTTTGATGTGTAAAACTCTTTAATAAATTGAGATCCCAGTTGTTGATTCTTTGAAGTATTTCGTGTGCAGTTTACATTTTGTTCATCAAATCACTGCTTACCCGTCTTCAAGATTTCTATGTACATTGTCTTCCATT